AAATTCTTTTGGTAATCCTTTATTTCTCAACATCTCAACTGTGAATTCTTTGATTGAATATTCGAACCATAAACCACCACAACAACTGCAAATGTGAGTAGGTCCTTCTTTTATTTTTGATTCATAATTTAATTTCATGAGATGAAAATTATTTTCGTATTTATCTCGACTCATACGCATTCTTGATGCATTTCTTCTTCTCTCTTCCTGTTTGTATTCTTCATCTTCACGTTTAATTTTCAGTGAATTCAGTCTTCTGTCATTTTCCTGTGTTCTGAATTCAATATTTTGACGTTCAATTTTATGAGCTTCTGCTTTTCTCTTGTTTTCTTCTGTTTTGAATTCATCATTTTGTCGTTCAATCATAAGAGCTTCAGCTCTTCTCTTATTTTCTTCTGTTTTGAATTCATCATTTTGTCCGTTCAATTTTATGAGCTTCTGCTCTTCTTTTATTTTCTTCGTTTTTAAATTCATCATTTTGTCGTGCTATTTGAAGTGATTCTGCTCGTCTTCTATTATCTGACAAGCGGAATCCATCATCATTTCTCTTTTCTCTCATTCTCTTTGTCATTTTGGCATTTTTCTGAGAGACAGATCTTCTTTTTAATTTCGGCATTTTCTCTCACAATTTAAAATGTTGCACTTTTGGTACGACTGATCTTTTAGAAATGTAGATAGTGAAATAAGATGCGATTAGATTAGCTGTTAAATTTTTAAATGATCTAGACTCTTCAATCAGATTAAGCACGTATATATACTAAGTATAACTTGTACTTAATGAGAAACGTATGTATCTCTTAACTTTTTGAGATAAACTAATAAACAAGAAAGTTTCTTTCGAGAAAAATCTTCGTTAAACTTAGTGAAGATTCACTCGATTCTAAGTAAGAAACTTTCAAAACTTGAAACTTTGATAGTCTTTTTTAAACAGTAAATAAATGAAGTATTTTTTTGTTTTGTTTAATTGTTTTACAAAAGTAATTTTTTTAAACAGTAAATGTAGTATTTTTTTGTTTAATTGTATTCCAAGATTAATTTAGATAATTGAAATCTACAAAGTACAACAAATTAATTTAAGATCAGCCAGATGTTATATGAGAGAAGCTTATGCGCAAGATCATTTAGTTCAATATATGAATTAGATAAACGAATAGTTAAGAAATCATTTAGTGGCTTTAAGTAAATTAAAAGCACTGAAAAACAGATCTTTTTATAAAAAAAATCTTTTATTTATTTTTTATTTAATACAACAACAACAACTGTACAAAAAAAAATTCTCTCATACAACGTGTTATTTTATGAGTTTTTTTTTGTTTTCGACGAATATATGTGGTAAGTGAAAAGACAAACATATTCTTGATGTTGTTGTCGTTGTTGTTGTAAATGATATGATGAATATGATTTATTTTTTTTTATCTTTTTAATGCATCTTTAAAAAGTTCAGCACTAAAATTACATAAAATTTATTTCAAATTTTAGATAAAAAGTGATGTAGACATACATAGTAGATTTAAAAACTTCGACAGATATATGCTGTTGTTGCTGTTCATGATTTGGAGCCCGTTTTTGAATCTTCGGTAATTTGGATATTGAATTAATATTTCGTTCAATTATTTTAATATTTACTGCTTCTTGACCTCGTGAAGCTATAAAAAAATGACGTATTATACATGATATAATTAAAATATAGTGATTTACTTTGTATAATATCAAACTTAACCAAGTCTGATATAAATAATTGCTGTTGACGTGTTTCATTCACGATCGACGCATCTCTCGCGAAAATATCTTTCGAGTCAACATAATCTCTACTAAAGAATACATAAAAGTAATTAATAATTAAAAAAAAGCATAAAACTAGTTGATTCATACCGTTTTATAAAACTGTAATGTTTCAACCGATTTATTGTTACAACACTACCTTTTACATCTCTTTCTACAATAGAAAAATTTGTTTTATTTTTTATTTATATCAAAAAAAAAACCAATATTACCAATAATAGCAGCTCGATTATTATTACAATTAGATGATTGAGGTATATCTTTACGAGGTTGTAGAGATGTATCACCACGNAACCTTGGATATTGCTAATCCTCATACAGGTTTCGCATGGTTCTACGGATACTTATATAGTATAGTAAAACTCCACGAAACCTCAGAGGTTTCGTGTGACACCTTTTTTTTTTTCAGTGTACCTTTTACATCTCTTTCTACAATAGAAAAATTTGTTTTATTTTTTATTTATATCAAAAAAAAAACCAATATTACCAATAATAGCAGCTCGATTATTATTACAATTAGATGATTGAGGTATATCTTTACGAGGTTGTAGAGATGTATCACCACGACCACCTTGTTGAGTTGTATCACGACGATCACCTTGTTGAGATGTATCATCACGACCACCTTGTTCAGATGTATCACCACGAGCACCTTGTTGTTTAGTATTATTATGATGAACTGATCGAGTTACACGACCAGTTGGTTCAGTTGTTCTTCGATAAAATAATCGAGTTGCACGACGACGAACGGGTTCACCAACCATTGATTCCGTATATGTTTCTTTTATTAGTTTTAATGAGATATATAGTTTTCTTTTAATCCAAAATGTTGATAAATGATATTCAAAAACAATTTTTAATACTTTTTGCTTCTTTTGTTTTCTTTGGTTATTTAAATATAACGAGGATTAAGATGATAAAATAATAAATACTCCAATCATCAATTTCAAATTATTTTTTTCAGAAAGTTCATTCTGTTTTCGAGTAAATAAGAACGAAGAACAAGACACAGACAAAGATCTTTATCAAGATATTTTCAGTTATAAATTAAACAGTACATTTTTAAAAAAATTTTAATGTATTTTTTTTCTCATTAAACGAGGTAAAAATAAAATATGACTTATGTATGAAAATTCTTCTTTATTCGGGTATTGATGCTCGAAAAGAATCATGTGATTTGCAACGTGTTGATCATCATATAAGTCATTTAGAATATAAATCACGTTCTTTTAATTTAATACTTGGTCGAGATGTCAATTATTTTGAATTAGATTTTGAATTAGTATGTTATGAAACTCTTTAATCTATATGAATGCAACTTCTTTTAGGAATTTGCACATTTCTGGTGATATATATTATATTGCCCATTATTTTCCATGTACATATTCATATTTAAAAGATGATTTAGAATATTTACCACGAACATGTTCACATGATGTATTTCGTCGAGAAATTTTTTTTGCGAATCATAAGCACAGAATTCATGTTTCTTAATTATACTTACAAATGTAAATTGGAAATTATATGAATATATTTTTTTTCTTTGAAAGTTTCTGTTTTTTTTAGCTGCACATGTAAATAATAAAAAGTGAAAAGGGATATGCAATTTTTTTTATAATAAATCATCAATAGTAATAGCTATCGAGTTCGGGTTTTTACCTTTCGATAGTCCTTTTGACTAGCTACAAAACCAGGCATTTGAGAAACCCCCAAACTGTTGGTCATCTGAGACATATCTAGGCAATTTGGTTTCTAGATGCAGTTTTTGTGTATTTTGAGACTTTTTTCAGTCAATGTTTCGTTAGAAAACTACGAGTTTTTTCAAAACTAATATCAGATTCAGAATCAGCGTTAAAAACTGAGTCGATTTATATATGTTGTGGATAATTCTGAGAAAAGTTTTTTTTTCAAAAATCCCTGTACTCCCCCTCAGGGATGGTCTCATCAAAAATGACAATTTTTTCGATAACTCAGCCATTTCTTGACGGATCCTTCTCATCTTCGAACTCGACCTAGATATTGATGAGACAATTCTGTGCACAAAATTTCAGCTCAATCGAATATA